ACTTTAATGATGTTTTATGCTTATTTAGGGACATATGCACGGCTTTCTAACTCTAACCAAGACTTAGGGAAAATGGACTAAAATTATGTCTTTCCAGAGATTAACTCAGGAGGCCAGGGCATTGAAATTACCAATCAGTTCTTCGTGTTCAGTTATAACTTTACAGTGATAGACTAAATGCATCCATGTTTTCCTAATGTTTGTTTGTTTATTTTTTCTCAGCAGGATAAAGTTCTCTTCATGTTCATCATCTAACCTTTAAAGTGCCGGAACACTTTGTCTCTTGTTTGTTTTGCCTCATTCCACCTTTGTATGTGAAAGTCTTAACCACTTTTTACAGAGTCCAAACATGCTCTTTATTGCCTTAATGGAGGTATAATTATAACGTATGACATTCCACCACCATGTGGTTTAGGATCAGCTTCCTCTGAAACTTTTGTGTTTACGCTTCCACACCACCAGAGCATACTGGAAGCTCACTTCTGCTCTCCAACCAGTGACCCCTGACTAGACTGAGCAGGTAAAGCCTGAACATTTGAATTAACACTGACAAGCAGAACAAGTTGGGTCAGAAATGAAAGAAATATTACCAACAGATGTTTATTTAACAGGTTTAATACCCCTTTGCCTAACGTTCCACAGGTGGCTTTTACGAAAACTGAACCAGGAATGACCCTTCTAACATGAGTATGACAAACAACTTCTAATAAAGGGCCACACAGTCAGGAAAACAGATGGGATGCAAATGATTTTCTGCAGGATGGAAAACAAAGAAAAATGAACAAAAGTTTCTGTCGAGTCAGAAAATGTGAGGCTGTCTGTGACTGATTTAGTCAGATTGCAACACAAGATTAAATGTTGAAAACAGCCAACAGATGGATAAATATTAGATTTAATAGTTTCCAATAACTGTAAAACATCATAATTTTAAGCAAAGGCACACATTTTATTATTATGAATGATCTTAATCAATAATTGTAAATTGATACATTCTAAGCAGAAGCAGAAGCCTTAACTTTCCCATTAAGCTCATGAATGCCACATTCAGAAAAAATTAGATATACCCTACTTTTTTCTATAATGTTTATCAACTATTAATAACTAAACTAAACTAATAAATAAGGTAAACTTGTTGTGTTCAGGTCACTGGTATCTTACAGGCCTGACAAAAACAAACCTACATCTACAATTAGACTTCAGATTAATGTTCTTAACTCTACAGCAGCTCCTTTACTAGTTATTATACTTTTTCAGTCATACTTTTTGTTTTAAATTCACTTCAGTGCTGCAGGCTTGGTTTCAGTAGTTTCTGGCACTTTTTTTGTTGTTTTATATTGTTTCTGCTCTCAGATCTTAACAAGAAAGGGTTGAACTACATTGCACTGAGTGAAGGGTCAAAACCATGTTGGAAAAAAAACAACAGCTTTGCTTTGCAGTGCTTTTTAATGTTTACCTCAACCACAGATCCATATTATACTGGCCAGATTCTAAACACGTTATTTCTTGGATCCAATGTGCTAGAATAAATATGAGGTCCTCCAATTAGTGTTTCACAACTAAAGGAGAAAAGGTTTTTTTTTTAAAAGGAAAACCTTCAACCTTTTAACCTTGTGCTGGAAATTTTACCCCCATTACATTAAATACTGAAAAGAAAATCAGTTACCAGTAAAATAACTTGAAATTGACATAAGTAATAATAAAAAACAATGTAAAAAAAATGGAAATTATTTCCTTGATTTTGAATATATATATGTATATATATATATATATATATATATAGTGCTAATGAGCAAGCTACTGTAATTTGTCTGGAAAACCTTGTTTTTTTAGAAATAATTTTTGTAATAAAAATTCAAAATCAATATTTAATTTGACTAATTTATCCTTTATTTACTTCTTCATTTTTTTTTTATTAGAATTATACGTGTGAATTTTTCGTTTTCTTTAATGGCAAGGTATGTAAACTTTCAAGCACAACTTTGCACAAAAGGCTTAATGCAATGCTTTTTGCTTTGTGCTTCATCACTTAGGGTTTATCTTCTTTAAAGGTATTTTCCATGGATTTATTGCAAGGTGGAGGTTTGTGTTTTTAAGCCAACATTGTGGAGGGGTTATGTTCTTATCTCAGTCCCAGCAGATATTTGTGAAAATGTGGTTAATTTCTTATCACATCTCATATTTTATATTCTGAGCTCAACCTTTTCTGTAAGGAAGACTTAAAAACAACAGGTCAACGAGTAATCCAAAACTAAATGAAAGCAGATGGTTTAATCTCTTGTGTGAGGAAGTGATTCCTGCATTTAGTCAAAGAGCATGTTTGCACTATTTGGCTTTAACATTCCTTAACTGAGTGGAACTGCACCCTGTACCTAATCTATCAATGCCGCTGTGTTCAGTGGTGGTTTAATTTCTAGGGTCTGGAGAGGGTCAGGCTCCCTGCTGGGTAGCCCCTTGTTACATTTGCTTGAATACTTCTAGGAGTATTTTTTACTCTACCATGCGTTGTATTTTATTGTGAATTAAACTGCTTTATATTGAATTCATGTTAATTAATGTTTTGAGTAGGCATTTTTTTGCTTTCTACTCACCTCTGCTGTCAGGTGGCAGCTCTGCTGATTTGACTGAGAACAGTTACCAGACATCACTGCCTAAATTCTGCAGAGGTATGGACCATCTGACCTCTGGTGACTAGAGGTCAGCGGATGAAGTGAATGTTGCAGGAAACGTGCCCCAGCACTCATCTGCCTGTAGGCTCTGTTCAGCTGTTACAGTTGGTTTTTCACTTTAATTTATCAGAGCGCCTGGCAGGGATGATAATTGGAGTGCAGTCATGCCAGAAACAAGATTTTTCTTGCTTGGGTGTAGCTGTTGGCTACCAAAGCGAATGCCAAAGGCCTGTTATCACAAACACATATAATCTGTTAGTGAGGCGTGCAAAGGTGAAACACTAGCTTTTGAGGTTGGTGTCTAAGTAAGTAAAGGTGCATTTCAAACGATAAAAATGGTTGAGAGCTTAAAAGTGTGGATCTGTGTTGAAATTAGCAAAGATAAATGTACTGATTTCAGAGACTGTTTGTCGTTGAGTCTCCTGGCAGCCTGAGAGGCAAAAGAACATTTAGATCTCCCTAAAGATTTGATGTGACTTGTGGTGATATTAATGCTTTTGGTGCAATAAGGCAGATAATCTTGAGGTGGGGTTTAAAGATTAGGGTGATTCCCCATGGGCCTTCCTTCATTAGGCCTGGATCCCATCTCCATAAAATATATATATTTTATTTCCAAAGCTGAGGCTCCTGATTATTTCATTATTGGTTGAATGATCTCATTTAATTCCCCTAGTAAACTTCTTGGTTGAATAAAAATAATGCACAAAAGTCTAAGTTTGTCTAATAATCTGTTTATGGTAAAAATGAAGGTCCAAACCTTCTAATATGATTAAAAGATTTAGGCTTAAATCTAATAAAGCATAAAGCATTTTCATCCAAAATATTTAATATTCTTTGTTGTTACTTTGAAAATTACTCTGTTGAAGATCAATTACAGATGTATTGAAGTCAGCTGTGGTTGAAATATAACTGTAAAGCGTTTTATTTTTTGTTAGGCGCTATAATTATTGAAATATTGTCATGTTTAGGTTAGATCTTTTAGATTTTTAGAGAAAACTGATAAAAACAAAAAGAGTTCCTTAATTTAACCAGGGACAGAAAAAGACATTCATGTTCAAATCTGATCTGAAACATACAAATTCATAAAGTGCAGACTAACTTTTAATTTATTTACTTGCTAAATAATCATTGTATGAGCTGTGGGTATATTTAGATGGAAATAATCTTGGAAATGTTTCAAAGTAGATTTAAAATGTATCATAGCACTGAATCTGCTCTTTTAAGAGTTTTTAATTATGTTTTTCTGGTAGTGGATTCTGTTAGTGTTGTAGTGTTGATTTTGGATTTGACAGCTGCTTTTGACGCAGTGGACCAGCACACCTCACTAACAGGAGTCATGTTGGACAATTGAACCTCTGTTTCAGCCTCTTGGTCCTCTTCTGATTGCTTTCTATATATTGCCATGGTATTTTTAGGAAGCGTCTTCTGGCATTTCATTTCAATGCCGATGACAGCCAAGTTGATTTTTCTTTAAAACATAAAGGTTTTGTTCAACCTTTGCTTGATTCTCTAAATCACATCAGGATATAGTAGGTCTGCATTTTCTTAGTTTTAATTAAAAGAAGACAGGTCAGGCATTTTTAAATCCAGTAATCCAAAAGAATTATCATCTTGTCTACAAGTCATCTTGAAATTTTGGTTTTAAATGGTAAAAAAGCATGGATACAACTCTGGTTTTGCTATCCCTCCACTGAATACCCGTTAAGTTTTGTTTCCAATCCATTTTTTTTTTAATTAAAAATGTCCTTTGCTTTAAGTGTCAAATGGGCTGACCTCTTTCTATTTAGCTGAACTGCTCCATCCCTACATGCCTTGTAGTTTGCATGTTTTAGATCAGCAAACCAGCTGCTTCTCTCTGTCCCAGTGTCTCATTATAAACTCATAGGAGACGTAGCTTTTGTGGTTCTGGCTCCTGAAACTACCACTGGTAATCATGCCCCCTCCATCTTTAAATGCTTTTAAATTACATTTGAAAACACAAGTTTTCTGTTTCTGGTCTTCAAATATAGTCCTTTTTTTCTTTTGCTTACTTTATAGTGTATTTTATGTTTATATATCTATAACTACGTGTTCTGTGCAGCAGTTTGGTCAGCTTTCATGTTGTTGTTTTTTTGCTTTAGAAATAAAATGCCAGATATTTTAATTTTTCCCTAGTAGATGATTGGTAGCCCTGTAGTTTGGATGAAATATTTCATCAAAGTTGGTTGGAAATAAGGTTAGTTTTTCCCACTGCTTTCTCTCAGCAGGTAGAAGTATGCAGGCTGAGTGTAACCATGGGCGCTAGGACCATGGGGAGGGTCTGTGTAAGGGGTGAAACTCACTGGTGGTCAGAGCAGAGCGTTTAGATGCGCCTCTGTGTGATTGAGCTGTGCAGCCAGAAGCGGAGCTGCGCTTATTCACTGCGCACCTGGCGCTTTATTTGCACACAAAAGAGAAAGGAAGAGTTATCTTTCAGAGAAAAAGAGAGATGATATAAAAGAGGAGGGGGAGCTACCTGAGATAATGAGGGAGCCCTGGAGAAATGATCCTGATGGGGAAGGAAACCTGACTGGGATCTAAACGCGGAGCAGCAGCCTCTGATCAGGAGGTAAGGATCCAAATTCAACCTTTTTCTTAAAATATCACCAAAAAGTTTCTGCTCACATGTCAATGAATGGTCGAATATTGACTCAAATCTCACATATTAAAAAGGGGGAATGAAAATATACAAAAAACAGATACATTCATATGGTTTGGTTGTAATAGTTTGTTTATTTTGCATTAATAGACAAACTGAGCTTCTTCTGAAGATGGTAAATACAGCTTTAGTATTATTAACTAGATGTTTTTTTCCATCTTTAACTACAGTTTCTGTGGTACAGATCAGATCAGATTTATCAGAAGTAACCTATTCCTAAAATATTTTATAAAAGTCTAATGAATACCTCTTTCCTGTGAGTTCAAAGACACCTGCTCTAGTTTTAAACAGTTTTTAACTTTCTCCTTACTACAACCTAAATCTAACACCATCTCTACCACTATTGTATAGGTGAGGAGTTATGTGTATATATATATTTCTATTTATATATTTAATTCTCAGCTAACATGGCTGAAAGCTGAAGGGAAATCTTTCTTGTCTTGTTTTGAGGGTTGTGTGGGGCAGCTCATAGGTGTGTGGACGTGCCCCACCCTGTCTTGTTTAGGAAGTAATGATCAGGGTTGCCGCCCTGCCTCAACTTGCTGCTTTTTACCTTTCTGCTGCAGTAAAGCCATGAGAGCCCAGGGATCCACACTCTGGAGAGCGGATCCAGTGTCTCCTTTTGTGCGCTGAAAGCCTCACTGTTAATGAATAGCACCCTTTTACCTCTGAATGCCTGCTCAGGTCTTTATTACAGACTTTCCTCTGGAATTTGTTCATTACTCGTTGAGCCAAACACACATTAAAACACTTGTTTGCCTCCATCTGGATGAAATCCTATTATCTTTGTAAGCTATGGTAGGGACAAAAGGGTCATTGTTGTCTCGGGACTCAGAGTTCAGGCTTGGATTGCAACGTTCAAATGCAGGCGCTGCACCTATTTATGGAGATTAACAATAAACTGAGAATGCAGTTCTTTGCAGAGTATATATATCAGTGGAACTTTTTTTTTCATCTTGCAATGATGAATAATTTTCAGTAAAGAAAGGCATAAAATGATAAATTATAGTCTGTTAGAGGACTGATTGTCTGAATCATAAATGTTTTTTATAGACCCAACACACACACACATGCACACACTTTTTCCTTCCACTGAACTTTTCTTTTATATGCTTAGTTGCTGATATTCTCCTTAAACAACCAGCTCATGAACTCTTTTTTTTTTTTTAACATAGGGTTTGTTGCTGCTGTTATTTACAATGGTTACAGAGCCAGTTCCCTCATATGTTTCTCTCTCTTCAGAGTTTTCCACAATGATGCTACGTGAGATCACCATCTCAACTCACCTACTTCTGCTCCTCCAGCACTTCGCCCCCCTTACCCTGTCTCTCCTCCAGCCTCCTTACCATCCACCTATGCACGTGCCCACCCTGGTCCCCCATGCCCCGACACCTCTGACCCCCTCCCGTTTCAGTGCAGAAGCCCGGCTGGACTTCATCACACACTGCAACTCCAGTTGCTTCCACAGAGGCGAGCAGGAGAAGAAGGAGCAGCTGACGGACAAACTGGCCTTTGAGACGCTGTACGCAGACGGCTTCCGGACCCTCACCACGGTGGAGGTGGAGGATGATATTGTTGATGCTCTTCACCCGACTCATTTGCCTTCCTGGAGAAGAAAGAGAATAAAACACAGACGGATGAAGAGGCAGATTTATGGAGCAGATGGTCGTTTTAACATCCAAGGTGACGACTTCCTGATGGATTATCCGTTCTCCACTGCTGTGCGCATCTCTACTGGCTGTACGGGTGTCCTGGTGTCTCAGCGACATGTCCTGACTGCTGCTCACTGTGTGCATGATGGGAAGGATTATGTTCATGGAGCGAAAAAGCTCAGGGTGGGATTCCTGATCCCTCCGTCTATCAATGGCACCAAAGCTGGACTGACCCCCAACAAGAAGCCTCCGGTCCGCTGGGTTCGGGTGAAACGTACCCGGGTACCAAAGGGTTGGATCCAGGGCCCTCAGGAGGTCAGCATGGACTTTGACTATGCCCTCCTGGAGCTGCGCTGGCCTCACCGCCGTCCCTTCATGCGGCTCTCTGTTGCTCCCTCTTCAGATGACCTTGCAGGAAATCGCATCCACTTCTCTGGGTTTGACAGCGACCGCCCCGGGGAGCTGGTGTACAGGTTCTGTCCTGTGGAGGAGGAGTCCAGCGACCTAATATACCAGCACTGCGACGCCCGACCTGGAGCCAGCGGCTCTGGCGTGTACGGACGGGTATGGGACAACGCTTTGGAGCGTTGGGAAAGGAAGGTGATCGGGATTTTCTCTGGACATCAGTGGCTGGAGATAGATGGTGAGAACAGGGATTACAACGTAGCTGTTCGCATCACACCCCTGAAGTTTGCCCAGATCTGTTACTGGGTGCACGGAAACCGCCTAGACTGCAGCCCGGACTAAAAAAAAAAAAGGTGCGCAAACTTATTACAACAACCTACTGGGTAAAATTTCTCTATTCCTTACATCTGCAAACATCTGCAGGACACAGAACTTATTTCCTTTAAGGGCTCTGTTCTTTAAACCAGTAAAAAATACAAAAACTCTTCACATTTTTCCCCCTCCTGTATTTAATTGGCTCCCTGTAACCTCTGCGCCCGTTAAATAAATATGTCAGTGAGATCATCATAGCTGTTTTTCCTTTTCTTTTAAACCCTCCATTAAATTAATCTCAGTAAGGGAAATCCACTTTCTTCTCATGCATCAGCAGGAGCAGCCCTACTGATCATTATTGTAATCTACTGAGGCTAAATTATTATCTCCCCAGCTCTTTCATCTTTGGTGATTTTGGCAAAACTCCATTCATACTAAAACTCATTGCTCTCCCTCCTGCAAACAACTGAAAATGTAAATAAACAATAGACCTGCTTTTAGGATTTCAGATGGAACTATAGACCTCTCATAGTTGAGAGGAGACAGAATGTTAATTTTATTTTTTGGAGAAATGCTTGATATATTTTAATAAACAGAGATTTAAGTGTTTGTGTGGAGTCATCTTTTTAAAGGCAGTGTTAGGCTGCCCTCCTGTGGTCATGATATGCAGCTCTCTACTATAAACCCTGACCATTGTTGAGCTTTAAAGAATGCTGCCCTCTGCAGGGTTACCACATTTTAAAAGAATAATTAGACACAATCAGCCCTAATGTTAAAGATCAGATTTAGTTTCTTGATGCAGTAGTCTGACCTCAGATCTTCTAAAGAGCTTTAAGAAGTTGGACGTGAATCCTCTTGCTCATGTATTCCTTGGATCAGCATCAGTTTTCCTACCAGTCTGACTTGAGGTAGACGAACCTGGGAGCAGCTATGGCGCTGTCCCAGTGGACACTGATTTACTGGCTTCCTGCAGAATGTGAGCACATTCTGCAGTAAAGCAGTTCAACAGGGAAGTGTGCTGGCACCTCTCCTGTTATATTAAACGCTAACTTCAGAAAATCTCAGATTTTTCCATATTCAGCCTCATCACAGGCTGTTGGAGCATAACACCTGGAGCTGGTGGTGGACGAAACCACTGATCAAACAGGGTCTGATGTTTTGATAAACTATTAGAAGTATTCCTGTGACTAACATCAATCCTCTGCCTCTGTAAAGAGGCATTTTACTTTGGAGGCAGTCATCTGTGGTGCAGTTTGCTGTAGCAGCAGCTACAGCTGAGAGATCATGATCCATCATGTCCAAGGATGCATTATTTACAAAGTAGAGGTTGAAGAGATACCATGGTTGGATGTCTCCCATCTTGTGCAAATGCTGTTGCAGAGCTGAAAGCCTCACTTACAAACTGCTGCACAAAGAAAGACTGATGGTGAAGTAGATGCAGGGAAATACAGTATTGCATCTATTTGTGGGCCAGCTCAAAGCTGTTATATTTAATATACTTGATAAATTAAAAGGGTTTAGGTAAATATTTTCTATTTTGGTTTTTACAATACCTGAATGTGCACATGTTGGACTAAATAAACATATTTGGTTTTGAACCCTCCGCTATGCGGCCTTCTTCCATGAAATAGCTAGCTAATCAGGGCGGCAGCCACCAAAGAAAACGCCATTTTTTTTCGATCCACTCCAGCCCTGGTATGGGTGATTTAGAATGGATGGATGGAGAAATAATGAGGGATTGATAAACAGCTGGACAATAGGTGGTTTAATGATTGGAGGCTCTTTTTATATAAATATCTTGCCCAGAAAACTATTTATACCCACAAACATAGAAACCCTGTTGACACTTGCTGCATATGGCTGCACATTGAAGTACTTTTTATTGTATACCCAATGATTCCACCAAGACAAAAAAATAAAACATGACCCCTGAATCTAGAGCTTAAAAAGACAAGTAGTGAATAGTTTAGTGCTTTTTATTAGAGATAAGGAGACGATACAAAACATCCACCCTTCATTTTTCAGTCTCAAACACAGACTGCTCGTCCTTCTTTTACACATCGCTCCCCATCAGACCATCATCAACACCGGAAGTTTTTAAAACCAGGAAATCTTTGTTTTAACAAGTACAAGGAATGTTATGTTTACTACAACAAATGCCAAGTTCTCAGACACAACAGGAAATAAAAAGGAATCACTCAAGTTTTTCGGAATTGCATGTTCAAACAACAACAAACAATATATTTAACCGTGCCCCCCCCCCCCCCCCCCCAGAGGTTTTCATACGTCTTGTGCAAACAAGATGAATTAGTTCATACTATACCTAACCTCAACTACACTCAAAACTTAACTGGAAGTTTGGCAAACAAAAAACAGGTATGTAGTGGGAGCACTTTATGATTTGATGGTTGAAAAAACTAAAAAGGTTGTCATCTGTCTGGAATATCTCAAGTGGAACCTGAAAAGAACAAAACCCTGTCCTTAAATGTGAATAAGTGCATTTAAATTTCTTCATCCATCGTTTGTATCTAGGTGTGTTTTGTTCTTAATCCTTATGCTGCATGAACTTGAACAACAGTCTGCCTGTTTTTATTTTCATTTGTCAGTTTAACCCAATAGCCCACCCACTGTATCCCTCCCCGAATGTCCCACGAATGATGCTGGCTTTGCTTATACCCCTTTCTCCACACCAGACTGGAATGAACAGCTAAACCCAACAGATGTGTCTGAGAGGCTTCGATTGAAGCCGGAGCAGAGGAGAAGGAGCAGAGTCATATTTATATAGGAGATCCTTCCAGGGTGACTACTGATGAGCCGCCGAGCTTCTCTGCCAGAGTGTGTCGATCTTTGAGGTCTTCCAAACCGTTCACCTGCCACTCGTGCTTAATGCCTGAAATAAACAAAGTAAAAGAATAGAGATTAGTCAAACATAGGGGAGGGACACCTGCTCACTTGTAATAAAGAAGAATGGCACATTCTAACCCCAAAATCCCACATCCTCCATTACCGCCCCGGCATATAAAAAAATCCCACATCCAGCATGTGTGCAGTTTCTGCCCAAATATTTTCCTTTTGTTGTGGATTTTTGAACAGGAATAACTGGTTTGTATAAACTATGTTCTCTACTTCCAAAATCAGCATCTCTTCATCCATGCCTAAAAAAAGAAGTTGCTTTTGAAGTTGTAAGATGGGCTCGTAGAAGTTTTACATGGATTTAATTTTTAACTTTTAAGCCTCTTAGTATAAAATAAATAATTTGATGGAGATAAGAAATCTGCTTCCTGTTATAATGAAGTACCAATGGTTTGCATCCAATCATTTCATTCAACGCTCTTAGGTTTTGGGAATATATCAGAATTATGCTCCAATTTGTAGATCTGTCGTTACAATATTTTAATTTGACAAAGAGGATCTTATCGTTCTTTTTCCTGTGCGGTGTGATTGCAATTGCGGATCTTGACCTGGCCGGACCGGAGCAAAAAAAGCCCTGGCTCCGTATTTTGACGGCGACGGACGGAGAAGACGTACGTGGACGGTGACATGCGAAAGAGTAGTGGTGGATGTGGAACATTTCTCATTGATTAACATGACAGACAAGTACTCCGCACGACGTACGTGCGCTGATGGAGTATGTGGGGGTGAGGAATTATGACATTTTGAATTCGCCTGCTAACAAATACACCAGTCCATCTAATAACTAGTTGATTGGCTCCAACTGTAGTTTAAAACTGAAATACTGCACACCATCCACCAGTACTATTCACTGACTTACCAGGCGAGTGTACAATTCTTTGTGTGCCAGTTTACAGATCTAATCTACATGCATCCAACAAATTCATGATTGTTAGAGAGGAGATGCTGAAGTAAAAGCATTGCTGTGTGTGTTGATGTTTTCTAATAGTTTCAGAAACCGATGATTGCACAGGACAGGAAGGAGGAAGCTACATGGTGTCTCCAAGTAAAATCCCAATATGGTGCACTCCTACTAGGAGAGACCGGATCAGGCTTTCATGCATATCAAAATCTAAATATGGATCCAGTCAAAACTAAAGCAGCTGCTAGCTTCAACCACCAGAATGTTAACAGGTGATCCATTTTATTGCATTTTATTACCTAGGACGGTTGTTTCATAGGGATGCACTGAAATTAAATTGTTTTCCAAAACAAAAACAAAAAAAAATAAATATATAGGACACTAAGGTAGAAAACCAAAGCACTGAATTAAAAAAATACCAAATATTAGGGGCTTAGTATTTCTGGCTATGTGTACTAACGTCCTGAAAAACTCATTTATAAACTCATGGCATTTCAATAAATCGGTTATCAAAGTATTTATTTACCACGGATATATTTCTGTTATCCCCTTCGCTTTGGCAGAATCACTGGAAAACTTTCTTGCCTTTTCAAACATGTCTGCCACAGACGCAGTAGACAGGTTTCTCAAAATCAATGTCAAACCTCTGAGTAGGAAATGTTAACTGAAATTATTCCTCGAAGTTGGAATTTCGAGTCCAAAAGTTTGGGCAAGATACCCATACCAGACTCCTGGATTAATGATGGCTACTGCTCACATTAACAGTCATTAAACATTCTTATTTTGGTAATTTCAAGCTCGAAATTCCCATTTATGTGACATTTAGTCAGTCTTATGTCTACTTCTCTTTACGTTATATGTTTCAACACATTTTAAATGCATTCAAGGGATTGCATTCGAGTCAATTCAATCAACTGGTTATCATTAGATAGAAAACTTTGAATCAATTTGACTATATGATCTGGTGAACTGTAAAGTGTCTTGAGATGACACAGTTTGTGAATTAGCTTTATATAAATAAAGTCAATTGAAATTAAAGTACTACAGAACAGTCGCCATGTACATGGAACATTCAGGCCTCCACAGGCAGGACACTGGAACACCTCAGACATTGCGTCACCCCAACTTCCTGTTTCCAAAGTAAATCAAACGCACGCTCCAATCCCACCACGAATTTAGAATCACATACTAACCCATCACACATTTCAAACAGAGACCATCAAAACAGGCGCAGAGTTTCACAAACCTCACAAAAAGTCCTGCAGCACTACAGAAATAAATCTGCCTCACCCCTTCAACAGATTTTGAATGGATACATTTATGCCACCCAAATACTCACCTTCAAATTTCCTCTTAATAGCATCTTTTGAGCTTGCATAGATCATCTTGCTCTTCAGAGGAGCACTGTCCGGTGCCCTGGAAGAGAAATATTGAAGCTTAAATCCACCTCCAATTAGAGAATTAAGCCGCTTGTACAATAACACTGATCCTCACCAGAACATAAAGACCAAGTCCTCTTTCTTTGTTTCTTTGGTCTCGTAGGTGGCGTCGTACAGGGCATAACGGCAGTCGTCTGGGGGCAGCATCTTCACAAATTCCTGGTATGGGTCTTTGACGGTGTTTCCAATGTCACCCTGCAGGATCTCTTTTCCCTCATCCAGCACTATGTTCTTCAGGTCTTTGCTCAGGCAGAACAGAACAGCCTTCTTCCTCTTCCTTTTCTCCTCCTCGTTAGCCTGAGCCTTACGGACCTTCATGTCATTGAAGATAGCGATGACTTCATCTGTGACTTTCA